CTGCCCTTCCACTATGGTGAAGCAGACCGAGTTTCTCACGAGCTTTCTGGCCTCGTCAGGCAGGACTCCTTTTTCCAAGTAGGCCACTATTGGCCTTCTCCAATCTTCATTCTCGGTTATTACCATGACGCACGTCGGCTCTGGGATGCTTTGCTGTATCACCGTACGATGATTTCTTGATCCCTTCGAGCTGGCGAGCTTTGACAAGATGCCCGCCCTACTATTTTCATTCTGAGGTATGTACTGGACCACCACCTCGTTAAACTCGACTAATAGCTCCTTGACTTGTTGGAGATACTTCATCATAAGGGGCCCCTTAGCTTGATATTTTCCTTCAACTTGTGAAGTTACTAGCTGCGGATTGCTGAGGATTTTTATCCTTCTTGCTCTGTGCTCCTTCGCCTGTGCTATTCCTGCGATGAAGGCCTCATATTCAGCTTGGTTATTTGAGGTCGGGAATGCCAGGTGAAGTGAGTGTTTGATGGAAACTCCCTCCGGGCTTTCAATGATCACTCCGGCTCCGTTCCCCTTAGAGTTTGAGGATCCGTCGACGTATATTGTCCAGAGCTCTTCATTTTCTTTTCCCTTCTGTTTGGGCGGGGTTAACTCCAGAATGAAGTCGGCCAATGCTTAAGATTTGATTGCATGTCGGGGTTCGTATGATATGTCAAACTCTGAGAGCTCGACGACCCAGTTGATCATCCTCCCAGCTAGATCCGGTTTGTGTAACACTTGTCTGATGGGCTGGTTGGTTCTCACGACTATTCGGTGCCCTTGGAAGTAAGGTCGGAGCCTCCTTGCCGTGGTAAGCAAAGCGAACGCCACCTTTTTGAGCTTCTGGTATCGGAGTTCAGGTCCTTGTAGTGTCCGACCTACAAAGTAGATCGGCTATTGTGATTTGTCAGTCTCCCTTACCAGAGCGGCGCTAATGGCTTCTTCACCCACGGAAAGGTATAAGATCAATATTTCTCCGGGCTTTGGCTTCGACAACACGGGTGGGGTGGCTAAGCACCTCTTGATTTCTTCGAATGTCATTTTGCAGTCTTCTCCCCATCCGAACTCCGCCTCCTTTTTCAGCAGCTTGAAGAAAGGAAAGGCTTTTTCTGCCGACTTAGGCAGGAACCTGGTTAAGGCTTCCAGGCGACTTGTGAGCTGTTAAATTTCTTTCTTGCTTTTCGGTTGCTTCATCTTGAGGATGGCCTTGCATTTGTCGGTGTTGACTTCAACTCCCCGGTTGGTGAGCATGAAGCCCAAAATTTTTCCAACTGGTACTTTGGAGGCGCATTTGGCCGGATTTAATCTGATTTTTCGAGCTCTCAGTTGCTCAAAAGTCTCTCTGAGGTCGGCTATATGTGTAGTTATGTGCACTGATTTGATGATCATGTTGTCGATGTACACCTCCAAGTTCCTTCCAATTTGGTTTTGGAAGACACGGTTCATCATCCTTTGGTAGGTCGTCCCGGCATTTTTGAGGCCAAAAGGCATGACGTTATAGCAAAAGTTTCCCTTCTCCGAGATGAATGCGGTCTTCTCGTGATCATCTGGGTGTAGTGGGATTTTATTATACCCAGAGTATGCGTCCATGAATGATAGTAGCTGAAATCCTGATGAATTATCAACTAGCTGGTCAATGTTTGGCATCAGATACGAGTCCTTAGGGCAGACCTTATTAAGGTCGGTGTAGTCCACGCAAATTCTCCACTTCCCACTCGGTTTTTTCACCATCACAACATTGGACAACCAAGTGGTGTACTGTATTTCCCTGATGAAGCCGGCTTCCAACAGTTCGTCCACGTGTTCGTTCAAAGCCTGACGTCGGTCAGATCCTATCTTCCTCTTCTTTTGGGATACTGGCTTCGATCCGGGGTACATAGAGAGCTTGTGATAGCAGAAGGTTGGGTCTATACCTGGGATCTCCGAAGCCTTCCATGCAAACACGTCAGAGTTTTCATTCAGGAAAGCGACCAGCTCCTTTTTGAATTCGACCTTCAGGCTCTTTCCTACCTTGGTGTGTCCTTTACCATCCTTTCCAATATTGATGTCTTCTAGCTCTCCTTGGGGTTCTGGATGAGGTGCTTGGAGCTCCTCCCTCATATCCAATTCCACCAAGTTTACCTCGTTTCCGCATGGGAATATCGACTGGTCTCTGGTGGAGGCTTTACCTCCACTTTTGAGCCGAGGGGGAGATGATGGACCTCTGTGATTGACTTTTAGAGTTTCATAGTAGCAAGATGATGACCTTGTTCTTTGCCCCCGACATCTTCAGTGCTTGATGCTTGGTGGAGATTAACATGTCCCAGTCATGAATTATAGGTCGGCCAATGATCACGTTGTACAAAGAAGGAGTGTCTACTACGACAAACCGAACCCTTCCAGCTCGGAAAGCGTCCTTCGTTCCTAAAGTCAGCTTTAGGTCTATATAACCCTTTGGAGGGGATGGCTCTCCGTTGAATCCAATTAACTTGGTGGCGCATGGTTTCAAGTCTTTTTCATCCAAGTTCATCCTTTGGAAAGCGTTCCAGAAAAGTATGTCCGCGCAGCTTCCGTGATCGATGAAGATTCTTTTGACCTGGCAGTTAACTAGCACAACGGTGATCACCAGACCATCAGTGTGTCCGGGTATGACCATTTCTAGATCCTCTTGGGTAAAGAACAGTCTTGGGGGAGCAGGGCTGCTGGCTTTCCCTTTGAAGGTCGGCATGTCTCTTACCGACATGACCTCCTTCAGGTACTTCCTCCTTGCATTGGTCGTGTCGCCTCCTCCACCCAGAGCTCCGCTTATCACGTTGCATTCAAATTTGGCTTCTTGGAATTTGTGGACTTTATCTTCGACCCTTTTGCCCTTCGAGGGACAATCTTGTTCCTAATCTTTGGTATGCTCTCTCTTCGGGCTGCGACTTCTGCTCTGGCTCCTTTGCCTTCGCTTATTATTCTTCTTGCCCTGAGTTCGAATGATGTATTGCTTCAGCTTTCCATCTCTGATGTTCTTTTCAATGGCATCTCAGAGGTCCCAGCAGTCATCCGTGATGTGACCGTTCTGGTCATGAAAGGCGCAGTACTTATTTCTGTCCAATCCACTCTTGCTCTTGAGGGGTCGAGATCTCTCGACGTTACACATTTCTGTTTGAGCCACCTCTTTCCATATCCGAGATCTGGACATGTTCAAAGGCATGTAATTGTCATACTTGCTCCTTGGAGATCGGTCATCCGATCTCTTGTCACGAGTGTCGTTTCCCTTCTTCGACCCCCGCTGATCCCGATCTTTGTTTTTCTTACTCGGACTCCTGCGATTCGGGTTTCGTCCTCTGGTATCTCCGTAAGCCTTCTGTATGTCTTCCATGTCAATGTACTTGTCCGACCTTCTCCTGAACTCCTCCAGGTCATTGACCGGGTTCTTATAGATTGACATTGCAAGTGGAGATTCGCCATCTAATCCCGAGATGATCAGATGCAGGTGTACCGGTTCAGTTAAATTCTGAACCTTGAGGGCAGCATCTTTAAATCTATCGAGGTATTTCCTCAATGATTCGTTCTCTTTTTGTCGGATTCTTCCGAAAGCATAGGCCGACATTGGATGTGCCTTACTTGTTGCAAAGTTCAGTCGGAAAGTCCGAGCCAGGTCCTCGAATGAGTCGATCGAGTTCCTGGGAAGCCTGGTTATCCATGCCATTGCCTGACCTGTCAATGTTGTCGCGAAGATTCTGGCCTTAATAGGTCCAGTTATCCCATTGAATAGCATCCCGGTTCAGTTAAATTCTGAACCTTGAGGGCGGCATCTTTAAAACTATCGAGGTATTTCCTCAATGACTCGTTCTTCTTTTGTCGGATTCTTCCCAAAGCATAGGCCGGCATTGGATGTGCCTTACTTGTTGCAAAGTTCAGTCGGAAAGTCCGAGCCAGGTCCTCGAACGAGTCGATCGAGTTCCTGGAAAACCTGGTTATCCATGCCATTGCCTGACCCGTCAATGTTGTCGCGAAGATTTTGGCCTTAATAGGTCCAGTTATCTCTTTGAATAACATCTCGGTCTTGAAAGCCTCTAAGTGGGCATCCGGGTCTTGACTTACGTCATATGGAGGTATCCTGGCACTCTTGAATCTCGGTTGGATTGCCAAGTTCATGACCCTTTCAGTGAATGGGCTATCATTAGCCTCCTCGTCATGGAGATAATTATCTCCTTGGTTGTTAACTGGTCCTCCGCCTTCTTTGTGATTGCCATGACGAAGATTTTGCACAGTCTCGGTTGCCGTGGCCGTGTTCTGTTGCTGCGGCCTGCCAGTTTCGACCTGACCTGCTCCTCTAGCTCGGCCTTCTGGTTTCGTATCTCAGCCTCCAATGCCTCCATCATCTGGGCATCTAACCTTTGTTGGGCTAGGAATCTGTTTTCCATCTCTTGCATCCTTTGAAGGATTGCATTCATGGCTCTAGTGGTCACATCTCATGGCTGATCATTCTATGGGCGTGCTGTCTCCACCGGTGCGTTGGTCTGCGTTCTTAAGGGCGGCATCTGCGTGCCGACCTCGCCGACCTGGACATCCACTAACACGGGAGATGTCGTTGACTGGAGATGTTCCAGCGCAAACAGGTGTGGCAGCAGTTGGGCAGTGCTGGACGTCGAACGAGCGTTCATCATCGTGGAATGGGAGTCGAAATTTATAGTTTCCCACAGACGGCGCCAATGTTCGGTCCTGGAAAGACCGTATTGCTATACCGTATGGTATATGCTCAAAGATACTGTATAAAATGATATATACTTGGCTTATAGCCGATGTCCCAATCACTACGCACAAACAATAGGCTTATAGCCAAGACGTGGGTGTGTGCACAGTGTTGGCCGTATAAGTAAATAGGTTAAATAGTGTGTACTTGGGGTCCTTAGGCTCTTATTTATAAGGATTACCTTCTTAGTCTGGGCCTTTTGAGATCTCCCGGATTGCGTAGGATTCAGCTCCCTTTCTGTTGGGATGAGATCGTTATCTTAAGTGTTTTGACTGCTTAATGTTGTTGAGATACTCATGTATCTATCTCTTAGTGGATTCTTAGGTGAGTAGTTGAGATATGATATTCATATCCATAACAGTAGTAATAATATCTATCTCATAATTTACCCATAAAAAAGAAGAAGAAGATGTAGACAATACAATATCTCTCTTATGATCGACCCACCACAAACCAAGCAGATCAAGTATCATGCTATGCTAACGTTTTCTTGCGATTTTTATATACAAAAATCTTGAGATTTTTGAACCACTCGAGTTTGTTTTATTGAGCATGTTAGTCCTCATAATAGCATCATGTATGATTCACGAACAAATAGTACCAAAAAAGTAAATAAAGTTAAGAACTACTCTAGTTTTAGATAAAGAATATTATTTTATTTTATCTTTTATTTGTTACTACGTATGAAATAGCCATTCTGCTACTAATAAACTCATTCTTTTAACATTTTAATCATCATACATAGCCGATTTAACAGAGTATCAGGAACATTAGGAAAGGAAGGAAAAAAATAAATGCAAGAGGATTCAAAAACTAGGACCTGACACATTCATATACTCAATTTTGCAACAATAGACAAGCAAGCAGATTTCGTAAAAATTAAATTAGAACAAATGGTTTTCTTCCTATTAATCACGACATAGGTAAAATGGAAAGGTAAAAGAACATGCAAGTTCACAAATAATGACAAGTTTTTTTCTTTTTCTTTTTTAGATTATCCCAATGTAATTCCCTAGATTTCTTATAGACTAATTCGGAGTTCGGGACGAATTCAGAACTAAAGTTTTAAACTTCTTCCAAAAATAATAATGGAGAGGATTGTACACATACTCTCACCCTGCTCAGCTCCTATGCGTCAAATGAACTATCTTCATTTGACAAACACTAACAAGCTGCAAATATATCAAATGGTTACAAAACTCAAGCAAGTAACTTAAACTTGATCGCTTGAAAAACAACATTAAGTAGTAGTTGTTTTGTGTGTGGTATTAAACAAAGCACACTATCATTTTCTCTTTGTATTTGTGTGTTTATATTCCTTGCCTATTATCAGAAAAAACGGTGTGTTTTGGTTGCTGATAGTTTTAGTTAGTTTTGTGACTTATACATAGTCACGTGATTGGCATGAGATATTATTATCTTCAGTTTTACTCTTTGAAGCAATTTCACTTTACTCTCTCTTATTCTCCAAAGTAGAGGTGACAGAAAAATGTCATCAGTGGGCAAAATACGAGTTGTGTCAATCCGTGGGATAAAATGAATAGTATGCGAGTTTGGATAAATGACAGGAATTAGTATCGAGTCGTGTCACGGATTGACCCGTGTGACTCGCGTATTAACCCACAAACTTTATTTTATCAAAAAAATAAAAAAATTGAAATTTTGGTGAATTTTACGTATCCCATTACAAGTCTTGAGTCAATCTGCGTATTTTATTCCCTTTTTTCTTTTATTTTTAATCTTTTTAGAAAAAATAAATAAATTATCAATTTTTACGAGCCAAGCAATGTGACCCGCAACCTGAGGCGAGTGGTGTCTAGGTTTCGTTGTTTGACCCAGGAACAAAAATGGGTCATTTACGTGTTAGACAATTTGACCAGACTTCACACAACACAAACCCACCCGTCGACACATTTTGTCACCCCAATTCGAAGGTTCACAAAAGCTCTCTACTAGGGTTTTCTCTCGAGAAAACTATTCTTATGCTAAGGGCCTGTTTTGTGTGATGTATAAGGTTGATAGTATAAGCTTATACAGCAAGATCTTTTTATACATCAAAATGATATAAAACTTAATCAGGCTTAGGAGGGTAGGGTTAGCCCTGATAAGTGTTGATGTATTAACCAATGCAATTATAAAAAATTAATATTATTTTAATATTAATATATTAAATTAAAAAATAATTTTTCAATATATAATTTTTTAAAATACTAGAGATTTTTATTTTTATAAAAATTATATTTTTTGGATACACTGATCAACGGATTTCTATAAAAATTAATATCATCTGATATATTTGGGAGAATTATATAAATTCATTATTAAAGCTATTTTTGTCAAAAATATTTATTTTTATCCTATCTAATATTATACCAAATATTGAATAATATTATCTTATACAATTTATTATTTTATACAATATCTTGCCAAACGCTGGATAGTATTAAAATTTAATCAGGTGATATACAATCAAATCTTATATTATCATGTCTTATACTATCAGACCTTATCCTATATATTGAATATCAAGAACAAGGAGATTTATAAGTAATCCGTGTGTCTCAACTACACAACGGAGAGTCTATTATATAACTCAAAAGAAAGAAAATACAAAGAGATATACATGATGTGAGACTTCTATACTACTATTCTAAACTATTATTTACAATACTCCCCCTCAAGCTGGAGCATATAAATCATATGCACCAAGCTTGTTACATAAGTGATCTATCCTAGGCTTTCTCAAAGACTTAGTGAAAACATCAGCTAATTGATCAGTTGAGTTAACAAAGCTAGTGACTATATCTCCAAAGAGGACTTTTTCTCTAACAAAATGACAGTCTATCTCAATATGCTTGGTCTTTTCATGAAACACTATATTGGAAGCAATATGTAAAGCAACTTGATTATCTCAAATGAGAGATGTTGTGCCAATGTCTCCAAATTTGAGTTCCTTCAATAGTTGTTTTAACCAGATAAGTTCACAGGTAGTTGTGGCCATGGAGCGATATTCCGCTTCAGCACTTGATCTGGCAACTACATTTTGTTTCTTGCTTTTCCAAGAAACCAAGTTACCTCCAAGGAATACACAATACCCAGATGTGGATCTTCTATCACTGGGGGAACTTGCTCAATCAGCATCTGAGTATCCCTCAACTCTGGTATGACCTTTGTTTTTATAGAGGAGACCTTTACCTGGAGCATTCTTGATATACTTGAGGATACGGATCACTGCATTCCAATGATCTTCACAAGGAGAATTCAAGAACTGACTTACTACACTGACTGCAAATGAGATGTCTGGTCAAGTAACTGTAAGATAGTTCAGCTTCCCAACCAATCTTCTATACCTTTCTGGATCTGAAAATAGCTCCCCCTGATTTGGCATAAGCTTGACATTTGGATCCATGGGGGTATCGACGGGCTTAGCATTCAACAAAGTTGTCTCCTTTAGAATGTCCATAGCATACTTCCTCTAGGATATCACAATACCATCCTTGGATTGAGCCACTTCAATTCCCAAGAAATATCGTAGTCTTCCGAGATCCTTTGTCTGAAAATGATGATTGAGATGTTGTTTTAACTAAGTAATGCCTTGATGGTCATCACCTGTAATGACAATGTCATCAACATATACAACCAAATAAATAGATCCAGAGTCTGAGTGGCGATAAAAGACTGAGTGATCAGCCGCACTCCGAGTCATACCAAACTGCTGAACAATGGTGCTAAACCTTTCAAACCAAGCTCGTGGAGACTGTTTGAGACCATACAAAGATTTGCGGAGTCGACAAACTAGACTGGACTCCCCCTGAGCAACAAATCCAGGAGGTTGCTCCATATAAACTTCTTCCGCAAGATCACCATTGAGGAAAACATTTTTGACACCCAATTGATAAAGGGGCCAATGACGAATAGCAGCCATAGTAATAAAGATGCGAACATACGCCATT